AAAGTGCCACATATAGCTACAAGCTACCTGCCTGAAATACACTCCCTCCCTTGGCATCACTCAACACAATGTTTGTCTGTCTGTGTGTGTGTGTGTGTGTGTGTGTGTGTGTGTGTGTGTGTGTGTGTGTGTGTGTGTGCGTGTGTGTGTGCGTGTGTGCGTGTGTGTGTGTGTGTGTGTGTGTGTCTGTGGGTGTGTGTGCACATGGGGGACGGTTTGTGTGAAAATACACACTTGCTTTTGTACGCATGTGTGTGTGTGTGTGTGTGTGTGTGTGTGTGTGTCTGTCTGTGTGCGTGCGTGCGTGCGCGTGCGTGTGTGTGTGTCTGTGGGTGTGTGCGCACATGGGGGACGGTTTGTGTGAAAATACACACTTGCTTTTGTACGCATGTGTGTGTTCGGGTGTGTGTTTTCGTCCTCTGAGCAGTCCTCCGGAAATGTGTGGGTGACTCATGAAGAGATGGAGAACCTGGCTTCCTCCACTAAAGCGGTCAGTACCATCTGGGTGCTCCCCTCCCATCCCCCCCATACAACACTCTCTCACCCTCACACTGTCCCCACCGTGACACACATGTCATCTCCCAGAAGACCCCTTTATATACACACAATATCACACACTAACGCATTATTGTGCTCGTACTGGTATTTGTATGTGGTCGTCGGATTTAACTGTTATAACCGATTACTTAATGATATGAGTTTTGGAGATGTGCAATAAAGGTTAACTGCAGTTTGTGTGTGGGTGTATTTCCTGAATGTGCAATACGTGTATCTTTAGTTATCCCCTCTCTCTCTCTGAACTTGTTATTGTCTCTAACCACGCTGCCACTCAGGACAATGAGGAGGGCAGCTGGGCACAGGTGAGGTCGCTGGTATGCTAACATCTATCTCCACACATTCTACACACACACACACACACACACACACACACACACACACACACACACACGCACACACAGAGATACACTCAAATGTGTTATTTAAATAAGAGAGTGCCGCCAACTCAGTCAATATTAGGCTCTGCACACAGCAAAGTGGAAACAGAGGCAGCAGAGGAGACAAATTCTTGGTCGGAAACCAAAATAGTTTTAATGTTGGCCAAATTCTGTTTATCTTAGTCATTATGTTTTTTTCAGTGAACTGAGCCTTTAATCAAGACTGATCACTTTGTTTGATAGAGACACATTGCAATCTTTCTACATTTTGGCAGTTGCGTGTTTTATCTGTGTTAAAAAACCCTACGTAGTCACTTTACCTCACACAGACATTTCCTACCTGATAAGAGCTATTTTCAGGGCAGCAAATGTGTACAAACTGTGCTTAATAAACTTGAAATGTAATATATGTACACACATTTGAACAAACTGTGCTTGATCAACTTTAAAACAAATCTGTGCAGTGAGAAAGGTCATTGGCTTATATTAAATGCTTTGTATCCATTTTCACAGCGCACATGTTGACCTTGACAATGAAACAGAAGCAACTAAATGGCATTAAGCCGTCATTCATTTCATTGATTTAAGCCGTGTCTTCCTATTCTGACACGGCTAAATGTCGTCTGTGAAACGGTCCTATTGGTGCATAGAGTTATGTGGTCACTTCCAACATAAATCTGAACAGAGGTCCAATGAGAGGGAATGACTGAAAGCATTAGCGGCTGTGCAAGGCCTTTAAAATGATGAGGTGCTCATGTTTTAATGTCCTATCCAGTAGTGATAATGTTCTGTTAAAAACAAAGAAAACCCCAAGGAAATGTATGTCAATAGTGCTGAAAAAAAAGTGTATACCAGGGCCCTTGACCTGCAACACCAAAATAGAAAGTGTTTCCAATGTTATAATTCACACCTGTGCTTTTCCTGTCAAAGCTTTTCTAAAGCAATGGCTCTGTTACCACTTAAGTAGCTTTTAGCATCAAAGCATATTGTTTTCTTTACATACAACAGTCCCACATCCATATACGTATTTACAATACATGTATATATGACAGAGAGTAGTCTCTCTTCTCCTGTTTCACAAACGAGTAACATTATGTCCTCCTCTCCCTGTAGACTCTGGCATATGGCGACATGAATCATGAGTGGATAGGGAATGAATGGCTGCCCAGCCTCGGCCTCCCTCAGTACCGCTCCTACTTCATGGAGTGTCTAGTTGACGCACGCATGCTGGACCACCTGACCAAGAAGGACCTTAGGAGCCACCTCAAGATGGTGGACAGCTTCCATAGGTCTGTAGCTGAGCAGCCGTTTGATCAGCTTCCCTTTCATCTGCTAACTGGACACATTAGAAATGGAGATGAGAAGGCTAATGATGTGCTTGTGCTTTTTCTATGTTTGTGTGTGAGCTTGTTTGCTCCTTCATGTTTGTGTGTATTTCTATGTTCGTGTGTGTGTGTGTGTGTGTGTGTATATACCAGGGCTAGTCTGCAGTATGGGATTATGTGCTTGAAGAGACTCAATTATGACAGGAAAGAACTGGATCGCCGGAGAGAGGACAGCCAACACGAGATGAAAGGTACACTTTACAAACACACTGTTACAAACAGTGACAAAAATGCAAGCAGACACACTTATACAAATTCAAACACAGTGCAAAGGATTGCAAACATCCACAGTCTCATCGGGCCAGAGTACCACCTAGTGGTTTGGCCTGATATTGTCCATTTGGCCTAAGCATTGAAACAGCTGCACCTCATACTGTCAAAACGCCAGCTGAAGCAAGCCTACAATCTTATGATCCAAAGCTCCACATACCAAGAGTGGTCCACACACACACACACGCACGCACACACACACACACACACACACACACACACACACACACACACACAACACACACACACACACACACACACACACACACACACACACACACACACACACACGCACACGCACACGCACACACAAACACTTAGATCTATCTAGCGCTCTTGCCCTTTTGACCTTGAGTTCTGTTCATGAACTTGACTCAGCTGTCATTTAAAATCAAAGTCCTGCCCTGTTTACGCACACACACATAGACACACACACAGCGACACAGACATGCACAAACACCGCCTGTTCCAACTTGGAAAGCTGGATGACAGCTGTGCTTTAAATGAACAAAGGGAGTGTGCCAGTGAGTTGACACTATGTGGACATGAACATTATCTCGTTATGTCTCTCTCTCTCTTTCTAGCTCCTTTACTCTAATAGAATTTGCTCTGATTTGCTGATAATAATGTGTGCTGACATTGTATAAGCATTATTATACCTTGAGTATTTGCCCCTCTCTTTTCTTTAGATGTGTTGGTGTGGACCAATGAGCAGGTGATCCATTGGGTCCTGTCCATTGGTTTGAGGGAGTATAACGGCAACCTTTTGGAGAGCGGCATCCACGGAGCTCTCCTCTCTCTGGACGAGACCTTTGACTACAGCAGCCTCGCACTCATCCTGCAGATCCCTATGCAGAACACACAGGTGGTTATACAGGAACACTGTTGACACTCAACATGCAGTTAGAAAGTGATTCAAAAATCATTTGAAATGTTTAAGAAATATACCAATATGATAAATAGTTACATTTCAATGACAATAGACAGCTGTAATGATTTGTGTAGTCCCATAAGAAAGTTAGCATTGCCCAGGTTCCTTGACAATAAAGTCAGTTGGATTTTTTAGCAATTATATTTTTGATAATAGTAGAAAATAATCTCTGTGGGGGACAAGAGTTTATGAATCACATATTCTTTTTAACAGGATAATCTTCACCAATGATTTTTTTTTTTTTTAAGCGTAATTGCACCAGAATTGTCTACTAACCACCACTAAGCTAAAAGAAGACTTGTTTTAAGCGCAATGAAGTTTAGTAGTCTCATCAAACACTTATCAAGACCCACTTTTAAATCAAAAAATGTAAAGATGGGGTTGTTTTAAGACATATTTTATTTCATAGAACAAAATGTTTGTGTTAACCTCTGACATTATTTCAGGCTACTAACCAAAAAGGCCTCTTGACTTAGAGATGGAAGTGCAAAACTGCTTACTCAATCCTGGTCTTTGATTTAGCACTCTTTACCCTGCTTCCCACTCAACACTTTTCATTCCCAGGACTGTAACCTTATGGCTGGCCTTTTGGGCTTTCTGCAACCAGTCCATCTTCCAACAGTCACAGTTGTTTTTATGAGATTGGTTGATTTATTTTTTGGTGACTCAGATTGTGTGCAGTCAGCATTTCTTCTCAGTGCTGGCCTCATGCTGCCAACTCTTACTTCAGCCTTAGATTCTGTATCAGTCGTTCTCTGATAAAGAGGCCTCAGTTGTTTTCAATCGCTGTCAAAGGCTTCAGATTACCTGCCCAGAGGTTTCATACTGATCAACTAAAAACATGAAGGTACTTCTGATCGATTGAGGTATTTCAAGAGCTTTCATTGACATTTTGCCATTAGCTCATGCTCATTACTGACCCTCTTTGATACGCTTACAGCGTCTCTGTGTTTCATTGAGGTTGTGTGTGCTGTTTTTCAGGCACGGCAGGTACTGGAGAGGGAGTTCAACAACCTGTTAGCCTTGGGGACCGACCGTCGACTAGAGGAGGTGACCTCTCAAGCTGCTGCTTTGATCAAATATTGTTGAAAAAGGTTGGAATGCTTGACCTTGCCTTTCTCACTTTCCCTGTAGAGTGGGGATGACAAGTCTTTTCGACGCTCTCCATCGTGGCGCAAGAGGTTTCGGGCGCGTGAGGGAGGGGTGGGGATGGGCATGATGGCGGGCTCCATGGAAACGCTGCCTGCTGGCTTCCACATGCCGTCGATGTCCATGCCGCCCTCTGTGAACTTGATGACCAAGAAACAGCTCCAGTCTGAAGGTGTGTTACAATACTAACAGCTCCTCTACCTCATTTATTTTGCTATGTTGTGCTTCTTTGTGCCTGTTCTGACTGACTAACTGCATGCTGGTTCCTCTGTCCACCTCTCTGTGCCACGTCTGCTCAAGCTCCACCACCGGCCTCACCGAGACTCGACCCCTCGGCCGTGCGGACCTACTCATGCTAACTTCTGTCTGCTTACTAACAGGAGCGCTAGTGCTAACAGGTAAGCTAACAAAACAGTTCCTCAAACTGCTAAACGTGCAGGTTAATATGCTTTTAACCAGCATTGTCCAGCGGTGTGGCATGACGCAGGAACACTAACTTTACTGACGCAGGCTTGTGTACTGATTTTTGATGATTAAATATGTGAGTTTTTGCCTCTTATCGAATCCTCAATTTACACACAATCATGATTTTACAGGATATAGGTTTGTTCAAAGTCTATAAACGGTAATTCTGAATTACTGCTCAGCACTGGTGTTCATCTCAGAAATTCCACTATACATTAGAATGTGCAGTGTTTTTATTGTTACATAGTATTAAAGATGGGGTAGGTAAGTTTGAGAAACCGGCTCGAGATACACTTTTTGTTATATTCTATGGAATGCTCTTAACATCTCGATAGCAATGAATATCTGAAGTGCTTTGACAAAAAATCTATAATAAAATGTAATCTGTGGAAGCCGTAGTACTGTAAAAAGCACGACCAATCATGTGCGCGTTCGTGTGTGTTGGAGGAGGGGCTCTGTAAGGAAGTGGCAGATTTTTCAAATTCTAGCGCACTCGAGCTGGTTTCTCCAAAATTACCTACCCCACCTTTAAAGCTGCAATGATTAGTTTATCTATCGATTCCTAATAACTAATAATCATTAATAATGTATCTTTCAAGTAAAAATCAAGGGGAAGAAGTTAGGATTGGTCTCAAAAAGCTCTGTTGCTTCTCAAACTAAATTAATCAAGAACATATTTGGCATATTAATCAAATTGATGAAAGGATTTTTATTATGTCTTTAATAACTGCGCAAAACCTTATATTGATTGCTGCTATACAATTTATTGAATTATATATATAAGCAATGTAATTAAGATTTCCAATCTTACTATAAAGGGTCAAAGCAAACATTACACCTTTCTCTCACGTTCTTTCATTCCTTCTTACTGTCCTTGTCTTTTTTTCTCTATCCAGTGCATTCTCATTACCTATATGGACACATGCTTGCGGCCTTTTGAGAGTGATATGCCAAATCTGGAGAGGGAGTCCCGGGTGCCACTGGGGAAGGGTCTTCACCCCTCTTGTCGCCCGGCCTCGCCTCCCATCTTTCACCTCTCACCTCTCCTTCGGACACGTGCAATACAGAGGCCAACTCTGACCTTTGAACTCTTGAGAGTGCTCATTGGCTGCGCTCGCTGCTGTAAAGGAGACTCGTCCCTGTCTCTCCCAGTTTACCCCAGTGCTCCCAGTAGCCTTGTTGTTGTGGTGTTGTGCTCCTGCTCCCCTGGTGTCAGCTGTGGGTTCTTGTCCTGGTTCTAATCTCTCAACATGGCCAAGTCCAAACCAATCTTCCAGTGTCATCGCCTCAAAGGCAAAACAAAAGTTGGTTAGTGTAAAAAGAAAATATATAAAAGAAAGCTGATAAGCTATTGATTTGGACTTGGGAATGATGAATACTTGTATAAATGGCAGATCCCACTGCACATTGCCCCTCTACCGGTTATGCAAGGTATTACTCATTTATCGTCTATGTACATAAAATGGATGACTTATGTTTTTTATAGAAATATTATATATATATATTGGAAATATATATGGAAAATAATATATATAATTGCTGTATGAAACCCAATGCCCTGTATTCGATAGTGACTGTTCTCTTTCTCTTCCTCTTTCTTTCTCTCCGTGTCGGACCTTTGTGTGTCTTTTGCTGTAAGTGTGTGAATCGTTAGTGGGAGGGTCTCACTAAAGAGGGGGTGTGTTTCTACAAGGACTCTTCACAGGTTCATGGGTCCAATTCCAGACTTTTCTCTCTTTGCCTCTTCTTCTCCTGTTCTTTCCTTTTCCCTCCTCCTCCTCCTCTTTTGACACTATGTAGCTGTTACCTCTCCTCTTTTCGCCTCTCTCGCCTTCAGTATGACACTATGTAGCCTAGAATAGAGAGAATCCTTTAATATGAAGAGTGTGTGTGTATGTGTGAGTGGGCAAATAAGTCTCTCTATCGGAGACTTTAAGAGAAATTGTGTGTGAAAGGCCGACCCCAGCCATGTGACCATGACTTTTCTCTGTGGATGGGTAGTGTGAACACTGTAGCTCCTCTCTGTTGGTTCCTTACTTTCTCTCAAATCAAACTGTAAACTGCTGCTCAACATCAGCCAATGACAAACACGTAAAACTGCTCAACGTGACGGACTCCTCTAATCCCGTCCCGTCACCTCCCCATTTAGTTGCCATGGAGACGTGCCAGTGAGCAGTCAGTACTCTCGGCTGACCAACTCCTCATCCAATGAGAACACAGCATATGAACCAGTGAACAGCTGGATGGGTGTACAATCTTTTATTTATTTTTATTTTAGAGTTTTTTCAAGGTGTCTAAAAGGTGTAATGTGCTATGTGGCAGCTATGAGTACTGTGTCTTTATTCCAGGTGTGAAACAATGCTGACAAATCAAGATTTTATTATTTGGCTATTTAAAAAAGTGAACTGTATTTATGACACTATATAGACATAAGTAAAGCTGTTTTTTAAATATCTTGGTTGTTGTTTTCTTTCTATCCCGCTGGTGACAGACTAAAGTTACAATCTCCAAGATCTTCTTTCTTTCTACTTGGTGGCACCTAAAGCAATAAGCACCATTTTCTTAACACCTGTCATGCAGCCTGTTTAAGACTGGACTCATTTCAAACCTTTATTTACCCAGGTGTATCCCATTGAGATCATTGATCTCTTTTTCAAGGGAGACCTGCTCAAGAAAGTTCCACATGAAACATAAAAACATAAACAGAACACCAAAAAGGACATCATACAGCATCATTACAGGGATTACAATTTACATAACTATCCACATGAGCAGGTACCAACAGTTTCCGATTGAGTAGCATCCAACCGAGCTTTAAAAACATTTAGTGGCACCAGATTGCTCAAACTTTTACGCCCTTCAAATTTACGGACACATACCTTTTTTACCCCACTGAATCAGGGGGACACTTTTAATTGTTTTTGAAGCCTTGTAATTTTTTGTGATCACCCTTTTTTTGTTTGGCCTTAGTAACCTTCAAAACCAGTGCGGCTTCAAACACGAGGGAGATAAAGAGCGAGTCTGTTGCTATGGCTCCGCAAACCAAAACCTGGCAGACCGACCACAGCCAGGTGATTGAAAACGGTCACTAACCGCTTATAATTTCTGGGAATGTCACCACAATCATCCAAGGGCTTTCATGAGTGAGCCATGGGCTTGAACACCATTGTGCTACTACCTCTTTTGGCGATAGAGGTGACTCAACAGATCTTTTTTGTAATTAAAACCTCTGATATTATGACCTTAGGAAAGTGACAAATATTGTATTCAAAACAGTCTTTATTGCAAGAATTGGACAGGAAAATATCCCTTTTCAGAACATCTACAAATACACAACAATCTTAGTTATAAAAGTCAAAAATAAGTTAGCAAAAAATAAAATGGCAAAACCACTCTGTAGAAAAAGGGAACGTATTTACATCACTAGCATTCATAACCAGTTTAAATTAAGCAGATCTTGGTCAAAACTGCCATGGTACATATTGGCCCCACAAATAAACTCATGGTTTTTTTAAGCATAACACACACAAAAAGAATGAAAGATCAGGGAAAGATTTCGAAAAGAGGAAAGACTTAAATTAAGTAAGGAGAAAACTAGGCTTTATCACTCCTCTGCGACTGTATCATGCTGAAGGTAAGCCTGACAGAGTTACTCTAGTAACTAGTTGTTGGGTTCATGCAGTAAAGTCCTTGAATCTCTAGTTAGACTAAGCTCCCGCGGCTCTGGTAGACAGGTCTGGACCGCCGGATAAGTCAGGGAATAAAGGGAATACGGCCTCATTGAGAAAAGAAGGAATTCAGTTTGGCTTGCAGACCCATCGATCAGCAGAGTAACAATTAAAAATATATATTTAAAAGTTTTAGCATAAGACACTTAGATCAATAGAGCTGGAAAATAAATTAAATTGAACCGGTTATCAGTTTGATTTGCCAATTATCTTTTTTTGTCAGTAGCTCTATGTGCACCTATGGGTCCGCAGTGTTGGAGGGTCTACTTTGAAAGTTCCACAGAAAAGGCCACCGATGAACCTGCTGCAGTGATGCTCTCCACAATGGAGTTCAGGGCGCGCATGTTCCCCTGCTCCGGAGAGTCAGCGGCACTCAGGAGATCTGAAAAAAAACAACCCGGTCACACTTTTAGTATCTGAGACAAGATGGATCTGTTTGTTCTGTGTAATGAGAGTGTGTGTGTGAACAGGACTCACCCTCGCTGCTGTAGCTCTGCGTGCACTGCTCTGGAGTGCTGCTCCACTCGGGGCTGCTGCAGCAGGTGCTGCCTGAACTGGGCTCACTCGACGACACCTGTGACCATGGAGATGCACACACAGAAGTTGCTGTCAGTCACTGTGTGTTATGACACGACACACCCCGCCCCAGACAAGCACTACGATGCAATACCACACACACACACACACGCCTCAAGAGGTAAATGTAAATAATGACTTTTATGTGCTGATATATACAGCAGAGGATAAAAGAGATCCAACCATTAGCATCTCTCTTTTCAGTTTGGTATTATTATCTCCTTTAACCTTCAAAAAAGTGAACATATACTACAGTGTGACACATATCAACTGGATGATAATCTTAAAAATGTTAAATTAATGCAACATGATGACAGGAAGTGTATCTGTTTGTACTATGGCTGAACACATACATGGAAATATCCCACAAAGTCTCAAAACATATCCACAGTGATCAACTCTGATTGAGGCAGTCTCACAACAGCCAACTTTTTTCCCAATATATATCTATGTGCTGTATCTCTTCATCTAAATGTAATCCTAGTATCTTGTGCCTCTTCGTGTATTTTGCCAATTTGTTCTTTCTGTTTTCATTTTGGCTCCCATCTCATTCGTGAACATGACTTTCTGCTTCATCCTCCTTCCTCTGGTGTACTCACTCTAGGCAGGGTGGGGCTGGGTCGGTAGTGCAGTCCCTGCTGTCCTGTCTCAGTGTCCTGCTGGTTGAGTGAAGACACAAGCGCCTGCAGCCTCTCGATGTACTGGATGGCGCTCCGCAGGATCTCCACCTTGGGCAGCCTCTGGTTTGGGTTCATCAGGGTGCTCCTCTTCAGAGCCTCAAAGGCCTCGTTCACCTTCTTCAGGCGCCTCTTCTCCCTCATTGTGGCCGCTCTCCGACGGTCCATGGTAACCGTCTTCCTTTTGCACAGCTTACAGGCCCAAGGCAGGCACTGACCCGGGCAGTGGGGCTCGGAGTGAGGGGACATGCTGTCTGGAGAGGCTTTGTCCTCTGTTCCTGTCACCCCAACTCCAACACCCCCAGACAGACTCCCACACATGCCCATCATGGAGTTCCTATCCTGGTAGGAAGATTGGTCGTACCCCCCAGGCAGGCGAGAGGGGAAGTAGCTGTCCCCTCCCTCGTAGAAGCGCTGGTCGGGGTAGAAGTAAGGGTTGGTCTCAAAAAGCTCCATGCTGGACAACGCTGTGGTCTGAAAGGGGACAAAGATTCCTGCTTCCCCTTGGACTGCTCTACGCTACGTGGTGTTTGGTTCTGAGCCTGGAGAGTGTGTGTCGGGTGTACGTGTGTGCGCCTGTCTTCTTCCTGGCCTGAGTTTGTGATGAGTAGAAGACGTGTGGAGAACAACTGGTGTGGAGCAACTGTAGGCTGGCATTTAAACCCCTCTGCCTGCTGCAGGATCACAGGGTTAAATTTAGCACGAGCCCCCAGAAACCTGACACGACGTTTAGCTGTTGCTGCACATCTACACTTCACATCTTTGTTGGGCCCTGCTCTCTAGGGCTTTAGGGCCCGGGTGTGCGCGTATGCGCCCTTGTGTAGGTTTGTGCACTCGTGTGTGTCTTAAGAGGCCAGGATATGATCAAGTTGCCGTGGAAATGGGAGAGATAACCTGGGATCAAAGACGACCGTCTTAATGAGCTAATCCCAGACTCGCGTCTCCCTCCATGACACCATGCATAAAGTCCCCTGGCATGGGGGTAGAGGAGGGGGAAGTGGGGACAGTCTGGAGACAGCTGTCACTTCTACTAGGAGCCAATGATAAGCAATGACAACAAGTTGTTGGGCTCCTAGTTGTAGATGTAAAGGAAGTGATGCCAAAGTTGTTGTTTACTCTAAGCTTGGTCCCAGATAAACATTTATTGTGGTTGAAGGTTCAGAGATATGTCCTAAATCGATACTAAAGATGGAAAAGCTTATTTGCCATGAACACTCTCGCCATAATTGGGCATTTGTTTTTATGGAACCACATTCATATCTTCTGACTTTCCTCCGAAGATGATTGCACAGGGTGATGCAAGTGACCTTCGGGAAAATACTGGACTCGCGTTCAGACAGGCTTGTGCAGGAATGGACGGAGTATAGTCAGCCACAGTCATTCTAGAAACGAGTTGACACTGGGTACCATTACTCTCAGAAAGCGAGGGACAATAATCAGACGAGCACGCAGAGGTATGGCCTTCGTTGTCCTGACCTCTTTCAGTTAGCGGTGTTAGCCTAGCCACCGGGTGTTAATCCTTCCAGGACGTGTCTCACCTCATAGCTCAGCAGCTAATTCAGACTTGCTTCCGCTAGTATAGACAAACATCCAAAATACACACTTCTGTCAGCAGAGAAGTGGGCTGGAATGACAGGCATAGTGTGAGATGTGTTGCATCCCTGTGAATCCCATATTACTACCATGTGTTTATTTTCAAAATGTGTTTTATGCCTCCGTGCCAGTGACAGCTGGGACCGGAGGCTTTCTGTTGTTTACTGTTTGTCTTTCCGTCCGTCCCATTGAATGCAATATCTCAGAAAGGCCTGGAGGGACTTTCTTTAAATATGGCACAAACGCCCTCTTATTCTCAAGGATGAACTGATTAGATATATGTGGTTATGAGCCAAAATTCAAAGGTCAAAGGTCAAGGTCACTTTAAAAAAAAAAAAAAAAGGGTGGCCAGAATTCATACTTTAATTATGACCCTTTCACACAAATGTCTAACAGATAAAATGATGAAGTGATGACATGTTGTGCAGACATGGAAGTAAACTTCATCTTGACTGGTATGTGGAGGCACACAACTGCTAAGAGGTTCTGTTGGCAGTAATAAATGTGGAGCCAGAAAACTGACAAAAGGCACTGATATATTTTAAGTAACATTTTGTATTTAAATGTAATGTTTCATTATTAAAATTTAATGGAAAGTAATATATGAAGCTAACCTACCTTTAACCTCCAGTTGATAATTTAAAGTCTGAATTATTAACTATTTATTTAATATTATTATTCTAATAATTTTCCCTAACTCCAATATTTCCTGTCTTCCTCACCAGATTTTAAACTTTCCTTTATTCTTACACATAGATTAACATAATTAACCAGGCCTAGAGAGGAAGTAGATCCCCTGAAAACTCAAATACACACTAAGCACCAGCCTATACACTTAGCCTATCTAGCTACAACTTTG